TTTATATATATATATATATATATATATATATAAAGTTTTTTTATATATATATATAAAGTTTTGTCTACATAACACCTTATTTTTGGGAATTGTACTACAATTTCTAGAAAATGCCCTTTCTGTCCATGTGGGTACAATGGTGACTTCCATGTTTATCCATGTCACTACTTACAATTAAACACTTGGCCCCAAATAGGCTGTTCACAATTCCCTAATGTTTGAAAGTTTGATGTGGTCTTGGACCCAGAAATAGCAAGGTCAGTTTCCTGGGTAGTCAAATTCAGATACAGTTTCTACTGTATAAAAAATTTCTCACTATTAACTGAGAGAAAAAAAAATGGAAAGATGCAGAGGTAAAAAATAAGTAGATAGGGATGATGTTTGACAGATAAATAGATAAAAAATGTGCAATATGTATAGATAAATATAGACATATCTATATCTATATAGATATGCCTATCTCTATCTCTGTCTATATATCTAGAGACCAAATTTTGTGTGAAATAAGTCAGACTCAGAAAAGTAGTATGTTTTCTCTCATACATGGAACCTAAAAAAGTAAACAAAATAGACAAATAAAAAGGGAGACCAGTAGGGTAGAAGGGGACTTAGGGAGACGGACAAAAGAGGGTGAGGGTGTATGGTGAGTGAAATTAATCAAATTATGTTTTTAATGTATGCATAAATATACCACAGTGAAACCCACTATAGTGTATAATTAATATGCTCCAATAAAATAATTTAAAATGCTCATTTAAAAATAAAACAAATCCATTTCAACAAAAAGAAAAAAAGATGATTTTGAAATCAAATACAGCTTTTCTCTGAAATCTTCAATATTTGTCTATATTTGCTCCATTAACAAACAGGTATTATTTTAATTGATTCATTTTTATAATTGGGTACAATTGTTTTGGGTTTCTATTACTTTCCTAAAAGAATCTTAACAGTGACACTGACTTTATCTACATACTTCTTGGTGCATGGGGCTTTTTATCCCTGGGAATGATGGGTAAATGTGCAGAGTGGAAACAGCTTCTTGAAAAAGAAGGGATGGAAGTCATTGCTACCTTTTTCTGTGAGGGGTAACATTACTGAAACATTTCTGTTGGATTGAGGTGGATATTCAGAAGTCAGCTAGCAAAAAAAAAAAAAAAATGGCTTAAAGGAGAAGGGAATTTGAATGCCTGACCTACGTGTGTCAATAGGTAGGCCATGAACAAAAAACATGGGGACTTTCTAGCACCACGCACACTCCTTTGGAATAAGGACTGTGTGTGCAGGTTGGGGACCAGAGTCAGTGGGCTCACTAAGATACAGTGGGTACTTAAGCTCAGGGTGGGATAACTGAATTAAATATAAGCATAATAATGAGAAAAGAGTTGTCTTATAGTTTCTTTTTAATTCTTGAAAAACTACTGTTAGAGTAGTGACCTGGGCTGGTACAATAGTGGAGCAGTGTGGCATCACATCCCACGAATCTTCTGCTCTCACCAGCAGTGAGACAGCAACACAGCCAAGCATAAGAGAAGGAAGACCATGCAAAAGACAGCTGACTGCCTAGATTATGCCGCCTGTGTTCTCTGCAAGATGACTGGACTAATGGCACCTTGGACTAAAACCCTGAAGGTTCATGAGCCTTAGTCAGAAGTGATAGTTGAATCAAGAAAGAACTTTTCTCTTAGTGTTATGATAGGGACTGGTCATTTGAATTGATATCCAAAGGTTATATATTAGTTACAAATGTTGAAATTAGGATGCATGGTTTGACACAGAATATAGTTACTATTTTATAAGCCAAATAAAAAACCAGGTAGAAAAAGACTGCTAGACATCCATTAAAATATTGTAGCATTTGGCTCTAGGCAATGTAACTAGGTGTACTTTTCTTTTTCCATTTACTTTTCTATTTTAAAATAGTTGTATAATCAACATGTATAACCTAGAATGGGAAAAAAATTAATTTTTTGAGTGTAGCATGCCATTTAAAATCAGTACTTTAATAGCTAAATTATAGTTTTCTGAGAAAAAGTTAATGACATTTACATTTAAATGACTATGCATTATGCATACCACAAAGGAAATATTCTGAAAGTAAAATATGATATGTGAATTTTGATGATATGATTGCTTGCCAAATTATGCATCATACTATTTTTTTCACAAATAAAGAAACATGTGCATTTTAATCAGTATTCTCTATGAGCATGGTTCTGTCAGTGTACCTTTTGGCCAGGATAAAGTCTGGTCATTATTGAATTAACAAATTGATTTAATAAGGGTTTGCTATATTTTATGCAACTATGATGACATCATAGTTAGGTTTTGTGGATCCTTAAAAGTACCATTCATTGTCAGACAATAATAGCTGTCAAATTTAAAATATATATATTGTTAGTTGTAGGTGGACACAATATTATTATTATTATTATTATTATTATTATTATTATTTTGTGGTGCTGAAGATTGAACTCAGTGCCTCACACATGCTAGGCGAGTGCTCTACCACTGAGCTACAATCCCAGTCCCCTAAATTTATTCCTGAGAACAGTTTTTAGTGGCAGAAAAGCAAATTGAAAATGTTTAAGTGAAAAGGAAAATTTTTGGTCTATATAAATAAAACGTCTATGGCTACATTTATCTTTATAATTTTTTTAATCAAGAAGATCCTCTTTTCTTCTTTTTTCTTCTTCTGTTTCTCTTCCTCTCCTTCTTTTCTTTCTCCTCCTCCTCTTTCTTCTGTCTTGGCTGTGCCAACTCAGTCTCTGACTTGCCTACCCCTTATGCTGGCAATGTGGCTCTACTACATATTTAGAGCTACTGTTCATGGAAAAGAGCATAGTTCTTTTCTCCATGTATATGCATAAAAGCCCATGGCTTAATTCTCATTCCGAATCTGATATAAATCCAACTCTGAAAATTTCACTGAAACAAGAAGGAAGATATAGTGCAGATTAGCCTAGGTTATGTTAGAATGACAAAACTAACAAACCCAAGGATTTGTAACAATAGTCTTTATGTGTCACCTATACTGTGTGGCCATCAGAGGTAGGCTGCCTCTCAAAACGTTCTCACTCTAGGATGTAGGCAGATGGAGCAAGTACTGGTTGATTGCTGTTATAGTGGTAGAAGAAAGACTTTTGGATGGATCCATTAGCAACAAAATGCATGGACTCAAAGTGACACATCTATCTTTCATGTACAATTAATTATCCAGAACTAGACACATGGTTCCACTGAACCACAGGGGCCAGGACATGCTGGGAATGTTTCTATTCCCTTTTGAGTTGTAGCACATTTTCCATATCATGTCCTATGAACAAGGAGAAATTGGATATTTGGTGAACAGCACTGATGAATGCCAATTATACTCACTCCAGGATCTGGGGATGGGGTCATCTCATCACACTCGGGAGCCTATAGTCTCCCACAGAAAAATTTAAACTATTGGCAGAAAAAAAAAAGTGAATAGTTGCTTCCAGAAAAAAAAAAAGTCAACATTATACTTAATTAACTCAATTTATGGTAAATGACCAAGGTTCTTATTGAGTCAACCTTCCTGTGTGAATAAATTAACTACCAGGGCTTAAAATTTTACCATCTCTGTGGTTATAATCCAACAGCCAAGAGCTAAATATTTTTACCCTACTCTTGATTTTAATTTGATTTATCTCCTGAAATAACCAATAAAGATTTTTCAAGGTGGATATTTTAAATCTTGTGCAATTAGTAGTCGCTAGGTAATAGGACAGCTAAATCTGTTAAACTATGGTGGATTTAAGTCTATAACCCCAAAATAGATGTGGGATTCACACTTGTATCTTCATTCTTGTACATAGCTAGAATGTTTCTATTCCCTTTTGAGTTGTAGCACATTTTCCACCTAAGACACTCAGCATCAAGGACTTTCCTTCTTTTAGCTTTGAGGAACAGATAACCTCTCAAATGAATTCAAGAAAAAAATTATTATAATGCCACAATAGTTAAGCTCTAATTTTCCCATCTTGAGAATTTTTGCATCTCATTAATCTTCTACTTTCTTTTGTAGCATCTATTTTCCTCTCTTAAATCTATTAATTTCCATCTCCAGGGCACTACAGCTGAAGGAAGGTGGCAAGTTACATTCTCTGAGCTTCTTAACTTAATTCCAAAGAAAGAGAATCAAACTGGCTGACTGTTAGAAATTGATCTACTGTTAAACCACTTCTGGTTGGTGAGAAGTATCATGAGGCATTTACAACTGCTCCTTTCAGGACCTTTGTTTGGCAGGTTATGTGAGAAGGAAAATTATGCAAGAAAGCTAACTGACTATGCTTGATTAGATTGAGGGTATTAATACTACTTCTTATACTCACTACAGTTATAAGTGATTTATAATTATACAAGTATCACTTAAACCTAAGATGTAGGTAATACAATTATTCTCATGTTATAGACAGGAAAACTGGCATATAGTCATACCAAATAAATTCCCATGGCCATTTGTGAATAAGAGGCAAAGCCACTGAGGAGTTGAAACTGGGAAGTTCTGTAACAGAATCCGTGGTGCTACGTGTTACACTGTATGACTACTCTTGGCTATTATAAAACATTTGGTTTATATCAGGAAGTTCATTAATGATTTCAAGAGTTCCCTTTTACCTCTTTTGCCAGTGGTAAAATGTTTCTCATTCTCAAAATCTCATTTTTAAAATCAGCATTTTCACTTTGCAAGCTTCCCTGAGCATTTCACATCTGCTCCTAAACCACTATATACCTTCCTTTAATTACCACACAGATCACCTTGTAATCAGATAATCTTTTGATACCATGTGCTTAGGTAGGCAAGTGCTGTATCTACTTATCTTTGTCTTCCTGGTGTCTGGTGTAATTACAGGCACATAACATATACTTAATGGATTATTATTGAATTATTCACTAGATAAAGAATGAATGAATGCATTATATATGGTGTACGTTAAGTAAAATTTACCAATTTCTCTTCTGCTGCCTTTATATAGGACAAAAAGTGCTTCCACAAGAAAACTTGGGAACAATACCTGTGAATCTTTGAAATTACTGGGATACAGAAGCCAAGACACTGGTTGGTTTGGGCTTGATGATGTTGTGGTGAGAACCATCCAGAGTGGCTTGATATCATTTGAATTGCATGAACATTTAGAGAGGTAATATAGTACTAAATGATTGGAGTTGATTTTCTCTCCTGATGGTCTATCTTTGATGTTTGTGGAAATCCAATCACAGGATTGGATTTTAATTCCTCAAATAAGAATATAAAATCCCTTTTAAGATCTGCTTAAAATATAAACTAGAATTGACATGAATATGCTGTTTGTAATTTCTTTCATGATAGTTTAAAACAAGTGCTTTTGGAAACCACTCATAACTTAGATTTTGTTTTATAGGTTTCTTTCAACTCCAGAATACTTTTAAAATAGCATCTTCGTTTCTGAAATTCACGGGGATAATAATTAACTGTTCATATCTATGCTCATCTCATAACTATGTATAGATGAACTGAATTGGATATTTCAGTGCCCTCATTTTGCCTTCTCATTTCCATGTTTTCTAGACGGTCCATTACGAGGAGCATTTGAATCAGTTTTAAGGTTCATGAGGAGTAGATACTCATGAAGAGAGGGCAATCACCATCTCTAAAGATAGCCTTTATTTTATAATGAAAACTTTACATCTACAATTATCTTGGATCAAAATTCTGTAGAAAAAAATTCTAAAAGTGCAATTTATTTACTGAGGAGCCTCTTAGGCCAGTCTTGTAAGGAAATGAAAGGAGGTAGAGCCAGGGAGGAAGATAGGAAAACTCTGGTTCCAGCTGAAGTCTTTCCCCAGCTGATACCTCAGGGGGGCTCTGGAGTACTAGGGAGCTTGGCTCTGTGCCCTCACATCAGTCAGTCCTTGTCTGTGGGAGAAGGCTTCTCTGAATTAGGGGGTCCTGGAGGGCAACTTCTGGAAATGAACTGAGAAATGACTGGTCTAACCCAGGGTTATGAGTCTGTATGAGTTTTCTAGTGCTGCTGTAACAAAATACCACATTCTGGATGACTTGAAACCCAGAAATTTATTGTTTCACAGTTCTAGTGACTGGGATTCCAAAACCAAAATATTAGTAGGGTTTTTTTTTTCCTTCTGAGCACTGTGAGGTTTTTATTGTCTTATAGATAGGAATATTCTTGTTCACATGGTGTTCTCTCTGTATGCCTTCCTGTGTTGAAAGATCCCCTTTTTGTGACACCATTTATATTGGGCTAGGGTCCACCCTAATGATCTTGCCTTAACTTGATTACCTCTGTAAAGACCCTTTCTCCAATTAAATTCACATTTTAAGCTAACTCTGGGTTAGTATTGCAACTTACAGATTTGAGGGTGGGGCACAATTCAACCCATAACAGAATTCATCATAAAAATTCTTACCACACAGGGGCTGGGGCTGTAGCTCAGTGGTAGAGCACCTACCTTGCACGTGTGAGGCACTGGGTTCCATCCTCAGTACCTCATAAAAAGATTAATAAGTAAATAAAGATATTGTATCCATCTACAACTACAAAAGTATTAAAGATACTTACCACACAGAGATAGAGATGAATATTTCAGTTCCCACTTTATTATGGTATATATATCTGCATAAGGAGTAAATAGTTTATCTTAAAAGTATCTCTCTTCTATATTTTGAAGTAATACTTTGGTAATTCTAGTTAAAATATACTCATGCTTTGCTTAAAGACAGGCTATGTTCTGAGAATTGCATAAGTAGGTAGTTGTGGTATGATGTGAACGTCAGCATGTACTGAAACAACCTGTGTGGTATTGAGTACATCAGACCTAAGGCTGTGTGCTGTAGCTGACAAACCTGTAAATCATGTTAATGTGCTAAATAAATACTATGGGCAATCTTGACACAAGAGTGTTTGTGTATCTAAACAGAAAAGGTACAGTACAAAAACAGTATAAAGATCAAAAATGGTAAACTTATATAGGGTGCTTATCATGCATAGAGCTTGCAGGACTGGAAGTTGCTCTGTGTGAGTCAGTGAGGGTGTGGTGAGTGAATGAGAGAGCTAGGATCATATACTTTACACTTAGGCTGCACTAAATTGACAAAATAAATAAATAAATAAGTAAATTAATTAATTAAATTAAAAACTTCATTAATACATTAATTTGCTTACTATAACTATTTTTGCTTTATAAACTTTTAAAGTTTTTAGACTTTTGACTCTTTTGTAATAACACTTAAAGCACAAACACATTGTACAACTTAAAAAATATTTTCTTTTGTTATAGCTTTAATCTCTAAGCTTTTTCCTACTTTTAAAATTTGAATTAAAATGTTTTTTTTTAAAAAAACTTTTGTTAAAAACTAAGATGCAAACACACATATTAGCCTTAATCTACACAGGGTCAGGGTCATTAGTATCTGACTTCCAACTTGGCATCATGTCCCCCTGGAAGCTCTTCAGGGACAATAAAATATTTGGAGCTGTCATCTCCTATAAGACAATGCCTTCTTGAATACCCCAAAGGAACCTGCCTGAATCTGGTTTATTGTTAACGTCTTTTATATAAATAAAATAAAATCACTCTTAAGTGCCAATAGAAAGTGCATTATAGAAATATATAAACCAGTGACATACTCATGTATCCTCATTATCAACTATTATGTAAATTCACATATTGTATGTGCTATACTTTCGTATGACTGTAAATGTGGTAGGTTCGTCTACACTAGTATCACCAAAAACACGTAAGTAATGTATTACATAATAACGTTAAGATGTTTGTGATATCACTGGGTGATGGAAATTTTTAGGTCCATTATGATCTTATGGGACCACAGTCATATATATGGTTACCATCAACCGAAACATTATGTGACTCGTTATTGTATGACTTAAGCTATGATGTCATGTTTAGAGCTGAGCCTGTATGACTTCTCTATTTAAGATCATGTTTTAGAATTTAGTTAGATCTGAGCTCATGTCTTGACTGCCAAAGATTTCACTAAAGTCACTCATGACTGTAACTGGATTGTCATCAGCACATCTGCTTTTAAGGAGAGTTTGGATGATAAGGGCTTTTTTTTTTTTTTAAAGATATTGATCTATTACTAGGTATTGGTGATGTTTGTGAGGCTGCATTTCCCCCTGTGGTCTTGTCCCTCTTCTTCTGTGCAGGTTCATTGTACTTCACCTCTCTTCCACTGTGGACAAGAGCCATTTGGTTTCTTTTGTAAAGTCTTTGGAGGATGCCTTGCTCAGCACCACTGCTTGCGTAGTTTTGTCGCACCAGAAGGACAATCCACACCGAGTGGTTGTTTTAGTGGTGCCTTCTAAAGATTTAAACCAGACACTTAAGGACTTGCTCTTAGAAGGATTTGGAGGACTTCCAGAGTCATCTCGTCATTTCCAAGTAAGAGAAGGAGAACAACTGCTTTTAAGGTTTACTGGAAACATATTTGGTTCAAGTAAGTATAGAGAATTCTCTTTAAGTCTTCTATTGTCTTCAAGCCACAAATTTCAGAAGGAGTTCCTTAAACTAGAATCACCAAGGAAACCTTCAGAGAATCGAGGGAGGTTTGCAGGAAGAAGGAAGAGAAAAAGATATACTTCTTCCTTTCCAGTCTCCTCTCTCCTCAGAGGACGCCTCTTCTTTTTTTTAGAGCTAGATTCTAAGTGATATTCTTTTTTTTAAAATAATGTTTTAGTTGTCAGTGGACTTTATTTTTATTTATGCATATGTGGTGCTAAGAATCGAACCCAGTGCCTCACCATGCTAAGCAAGCACTCTATTATTAAACCACAAACCCAGTCCCCTAAGTGACATTTTTTTTAGAAAGGGTCTTCTCCAAGATGAATCTCCCAGTCCCAAGCTAGGGTCTTCTACTTCCTGAGTAGCTCCCTCCATGCTCCTTTCTTAACTCTTGCCACATGCCATCTCTTTCCATATGTAACTATGATTTGTTAAAAAACATGAATCATAGTGGTCCCTGACTTATGATGGTTTGAATTAAAATTTTAGTCTCATCATGGTAAAAAAGTTATATGCATTCAGTAGAAACTGAATTTGGAATTTTGAGTGTTGATCTTTTCCTGGGATAGTGATATATCCTGTGACACGTCCTCTACTTGTGGTGCTAGGCAGTGAGCTGCAGCTCCCTGTTGGCCACTGGATTGTCATACTCTGTAGTGCACTGTCACTAAGCTATGGAGTTTGGTAAGTTAAATATATTTAATGCATTTTTGATTTACGATACTTTAAACTTATGATGGGTTTATAGGAAAGTAGACCCATCATAAGTCCAGTACCATCTGTATATTACTGCTCTGATGAAAACATTTATTATTAGTAGTAGTAGTAGTAGCAGTAGTAGTAGTAGTAGGTATTGAACCCAGTGGCACTTAAACACTGAGCCACATCCCTAGCCCTTTTATTTTTTATTTTGAGGTAGGGTCTCAGTAAGTTGCTTACGGCCTTGCTAAGTTGCTGAGGCTGGCTTTGAACTTAGAAACTTCCTGACTCGGCTTCCTGAACCAATGGGATAACAAGCATGCCCCACCATGCCCAGCTAAATCCTTATTATTACTCTCTACTGTAACTACAATAATATCCAAGCTTTTTAACATGCCTTAGAAGGAATTAAGTTTGGAGTCAGTGAATTATCAGAGAAATGCAAATCAAAACCACCCTAAGATACCATCTCACTCCAGTAAGAATGGCAGCCATTATGAAGTCAAACAACAATAAGTGTTGGCGAGGATGTGGGGAAAAGGGTACACTTGTACACTGCTGGTGGAACTGCAAAATGGTGAGGCCAATTTGGAAAGCAGTATGGAGATTCCTGGGAAAGCTGGGAATGGAWCCACCATTTGACCCAGCTATAGCCCTTCTCAGACTATTCCCTGAGGACCTTAAAAGAGTGCACTATAGGGATACGGCCACATCAATGATTATAGCGGCACAATTCACAATAGCTAGACTGTGGAACCAACCTAGATGCCCTTCAATAGATGAATGGATAAAAAATGTGGCATCTATATACAATGGAGTATTATGCAGCACTAAGAAATGACAAAATCATRGAATTTGGAGGGAAATGGATGGCATTAGAGCAGATTATGCTAAGTGAAGCTAGCCAAGCCCTRAAAAACAAATGCCAAATGTCTCCTTTGATATAAAGAGAGCAACTAAGAACAAAACAGGAAGGAAGAGCATGAGGAAAAGACTAACTGTAAACAAAGACAAATGGGGGGAGAGAAAGGGAGAGAGAAGGGAAAGGATATGCAAATGGTAGGAGACCTTCAATGATACACAAAAGTATAAGAGGTTATGATGGGCAAGGGGGAGAGGGGAAAAAAGGGAGAGAATTGAACAACAGCAGAGGAGGCAGAGAGGGAAGGTGGGAGGGGAGGGGAGGGGGGATAGTAGAGGTTAGGAAAGGTAGCAGATCAAGACAGTCACTAATATGCCATTATGTAAAAATGTGAGTATGTAACAGATGTGATTCTGCTATCTGTATTTGGGGTAGAAATGGGAGTTCAAAACCCAATAGAGTCAAATGTATGAAAGATGATTTATCAAGAGCTCTGTAATGTTTGGAACAATCAATAATAAAAAAATAATAATAATAAAAAAAATAAATGTGCAGATAGAACTATATTCCAGTGTAATGACATTATTGGTTGTTCCATATATTTTATTTTATATATTTAAAGGATGACTCTCAGAAAGAATCTACAGGTTACACTAAACTTCAAAAGGATCTGTGGCACAAGATAGCTTAAAAACCTCAGATTCAGATGATACAAACTGCTAACCTCCCATCCCCATATTGATGTAGTGTTATTTTTTTTGTTCACATTATCAATCTTATCATAATTTAAAATTTCTTATCTATCGGTTTACATTCAGTTTATATAACCATACTGTGTTCTTTGCTGGAACAGAATATCATGAGGCAATGACCATGTCTGTCTTGCCTTATAACTTCTGAACCTGATACATAGTGCCTGGTATGTCAACAGCTTTCAATAATTGTATAGAGAAATATTTTTTTTTCTCTAATTCAGGAAATGACATCAGACCCCAATGGGTCTTTGCTGCTTTAAAAAATAACTGGGCTAGAGATGTAGCTCAATGGTAGGGCATTTGCCTACATGCCCAGGCTTTATCTCTGAGCTCCTGATAAAAACTTATTGCATGAATGATAAGTATATCAGAAAAGGGGAAAGGAAAGAAGAAGAGGTAGAGAGTGAAGGGTAGCAAAAAAATCCTTTGTACTCAGCTTTCAGAGCAGAAACCACCATGTCCAAGTAGGGAAATCTCTCTAATGAAAGATAGTCAAAAACCAGAAGTGCCCCACCCAAATAATGATGCAAATGATTTTCCTGCAATACTTGGAACAGCAGCTGTGTTTACACGCTGCTCTAAACAGGAGTTGGTTACTGTTGTTCTCATAGGCAGGGAAACTGAGTGTCCTATTGTCTGCAATGGAGTCTGGGATGCATGCTAGATTAAGAGTGTGTGAGGTCAGCAGGTCCATGTACAATTCTTTCACATAGGTGAAGTCAAGGAGCTTATCTTCACTCAAAGAAAGTGAGTCAGGCAGGATGCCAGGATCTTTTCTACTTTGCTTTTCTTAGAAATCATGCTCAGACCTGAAACCTTACTGGACTTTTCTCTGCCTAAGAGGAACAAGAACTTCAGTAAAGAATACATATCTATCCTTCCATCAGAGCCTGGGGTAGTCTGAGAATCTCAAAGTGATGAAGCCAGAGGATCTTTGCCTGGAGGGCTCTCCTTCTCTTCCATCCCAATCCCTTCACCCTCAATTCTTTCCCACTTTATCTCTGTATCTCACCTCAATGGTCATGTTTAAAGATGTCTCCCCATCCTCCCTGAGTATATCAGTCCTTTCTGTTTTCAGAGTCTTATTTTACTTCTGAAGACCTTCACTTCTTCTTTTATGTCCCTTGTCACAATTTTCTATCTACTCATTTGATGGTCAATGCCGTTTTCTCTGATGGCAGTCCTATGGGCAAAGGGGCTATTCTGCTGGTGCACACCATTCAGTCCCCAGAACCTAGGATAGTGCCTGGCATCCAGAAAGGGCCTCAGTGAGTATGTGTTGGAAGAAACAGAGACAAAAGCTTGTGGAAAGATTTGACTTTATAGTGCTAAGAATGGTTCAAAGTATTTAAAACATTAGTTAACAAATTTAGATGACTATCCTTTAAGAAATGCCCACATTTCTCTTTCCACTTATGAATAATACAGATGAATCATTTGAGTTAGATTTATGTCTATGCTTCAAGGATAAAAGCTAGATAGATGCTTTCTGTGGTTTGGTATTGGTCTTTCTCATTCTGGACAGAGCTACAGGCTGCTTTCTTTTCCTGGGTTGGAGAGTCAGTTCAGCACTTAGACTTTCTGTTGCATTGCACTCAAGCTCCGAGTGCACAGAAAACCCAGAAAATGCTGGGAAGTGCTTTTGCAAGGTTTTATATAGTGACACCTTAGCAACACCCCTAACAACTAGGGAATGCTCTGTGGAGGTCTGTGTCTCCTAAAGTTGCCCTAAATACCTTTTGACCCAGGAAAGTCATTTACCTAGACATGGGTAAGATGCTTAAATAACTATCCTTTTACATATTTACCAAGTATTCTCTGCCCTCATATAAATTATAGCCTAATGGGGAGATATAGAGAAGAAGTAAATAAATGAATAAAACGTACTGCTTAACATGGCTGAAAAGTGTGTTCTGGAAGAATAGAGTAGGGAAAGGATAAAGGGAGTCCTGGAAGAGTTGCAGTGTTGCAATTTTACATAGTCATCAGGGGAGACTCTGAGAAAACAGCATTTACACAAAGACCCTAAGCAGGTGAGAGAGTAAGCTGTCATCCGGTCTCAGGAGAATTTGTCCCCAGCACAAGGTTTGTAACTGCAGGTGAGCGGAGGCAGAAATGTGCCTTGTGTATTTGAAGCCCATTAGGGCCTGGCATGGCTGGATCAGAGGGAGTGAGGAGAGATTGCAGGAAGTGAGGTGAGGATTGATAATGCCCTGAAGGCCCTTGAAAGAACCTTGCCTTTTATATTAAGTGAAGTGGGGATCTACCAAGGATTTTCAACAAAGGAGTGGCATGATTTGAGGGAGATTATGGCTGAGTAAGGTAAGGGGTAGACACAAAGAGGTCAGTTAAGGAGCCACTGCAGTTAACTGAGCAAGTAAACTGAAGCTTAGAGGAAGAGGTCATAGAGGATGGCTTAGATTATAGAAATAGCTGAGCTAAGGCTCTCATTAGGATTTTTTGGGGTTTCCCTTATTGCTAGCCCTTTTGTTTCCTCATCTGACTTTTCTAAGTGAAAGCATATATTTCTATGTTTGCAACTTTCTATAACATCAATGAAAAGCATTCAATTTCCATTATTAACAAGAAAATATATTGCCATAAGAAAATATATTGCCATGAGAAACATCTAATCAGTTGCAAAATAGAAGTGAATTTTGCTTAATATGACAAGTATTTATTGACCAGCTGGTACTTCAGGGTTCTACAAGGTTCTATGTACTTTGTATGTTGAAAAGGAGAAAATGATTCTCAAAAAGTCAACTAGTGGTAGATTTCAGGCTTTGGATATGCAACAAATAATTCTCATTTTTTTCTTCTACTCTAATGTGTCAGAAAAGGAAGAAAAATATGGAATAGTGAAATTTCTTCATACTATTTGTCCTTTTTTGCAGTGTTATACAACGATGAAACTCTAGATTTTAAAAATTTCCATGATGCTTTCTAATATTAGATCATTCTATTTATTGCTAGTAAACACTAATAATTTCATCCTGGTTTTATATGTAAATGTGATTTTTAGAGATTACTGATCTTTTAAAAACTGGTGATTAGAAGTATATACTTTAAGATCTGAATCGAAACAATATAGCTATGACTCATTTTAAATTCTTGTATCCTGTATATAAATAATTCCTTATGAATAATTGTGCACCTGGCAAGGAATATAATGTCTCTTAAAGGAAGGAAGGAGAAATCTACCAAGCAAGATTTTATTCAGATCAAAGTAATAATATTTTTCTTGATAGTACTTGAGTGGCAGGAAATAGAAGTCAACCAGCTATTACTTGAGTGATTTATGACTTAGTGTATTTACACTATATACTTAATGGAAAAAATAATTGAAAATTTCATTTAATTACTCCCTATAAAGAATAAAATTCTTTATTCTTTAAAGAAAACTATTTTTCCAGTTTTTACTTTTTAATGACAATCATTATGTATATTAATCACCCAGATAATTTATCTTATTTAAAAAACCAAAGTAAAACTCTTTTAAGAAACAACCCTGGCTGGTCATTCCTTTTTTAGAAATCTGTTTTGTTCACATCGCCAGTTTGCCCCTCAAATACAGACTTGTGCAAAGCTATCTATCTTTGCTTTCCCTAACCTACATATATTCTGGTTCTAGATTTAACTGTGCTTTAGAATTTCACCAAAATGGCATCTAGCAGTCACAACAGGAGAAGGACAGAGGTGTCTTCTCCTCTATCACTGAATTCTTCTTTTATTGGGCAAAATGAAAGAAAGGTCTTCTGTGAGAGCTCTGGGTAATCAACTATATTACGGCCAACAAAAGAAGTTCCAACCCAGATATTAAAGCTTCATCTTGACATTCTTAACAAAAAAAAAAAATGTAAGGGTTGATTTTTAAGCATTCATATGAAAATAATAGAAGCCTGCTTCTTATTGTTTGCTGGTTTTGCTACAGTTTATTCAGCACTTAGTTTGTGCTAGGCCCTTTGACAATCATTATATATATTTTCTCATTTCACTCCAGAATTATCCTACGAGAGATAAGTTTATTTTTCCTGTTTTAAAGAAAAGGCAGTTAAGACACAAGAAACTCAGAGGCATAAAGAACTTTGACCAACAGTGTAGTGTAGACTAATGGTGGGGGCTGGACTTGACTCCAGATCTCTATGTCTAAAACATGTTATTTTATCTGCCATATTATAGCTTCCTATATATTTTGCAAAAGGTAATAAAGTTATCTTGGGGAATAGCAATGTCCCTTTTGCTGTTGCAATATCAGTGTAAAATATCCACATCGACATGGTAAAACTCCCATAAGTGAAAGGTTATGTTCAGAAACATGGCAGTGTTTTCACTGAGGAGTTGAGAATTCTTACATAGTTTATTGTTTTAGGAGCATCCACTACTTTTTTTTTGTTTGTTTTTACAAATTTCTTACAAATTTTTCAACACAAATCCCAAACTATCCCACTTGGAAGTTCTAAAATAGCATGGTCCATTCTGAAAACAAGAAAAAGTTTTATATCTGTGCTATTCAGTGAAGTAGCCACTTAAACATGTGTTGCTACTGAGCATTTTAAATGTGGTGAGGAGTGGAATTTGAAACTTTCTTTAATTTTAATTAATTTTCCTTTCAACCTGAATAGCCACAGTTATAGGAGAGTACAGTACTAGAAAGTCTATTGTGAGGCTATGATAATGTACAACACAGTATGAACAAGATAAAGGACAAAGGTAATTCTTGAGACTGAAGATAATTTTCTAAATACTGAAAGAGCTGAATATTTCTAATAGCTCCTTGCTATAGCAAAAGGGGAAAAAACAAAAAAGAAAAGATTTTTAAATCTAGAAATAGCCAGAAAGAACCTCACCCACCAACAAATGAAACATTCTTCTAGTGATAATCTGTTCTTAACCGATTGTTGGTTTTCCAAGTTATGTTTGACAAGATGCAATAATACAACAAGAAACTTTAATTATATGTAGAAATTGGATGAATATTTGGGCTTTAAAAATTAAGACAAAGTGATATATCTTAATGGTAATGAATGCATTTTACTTCCATTTAGGCAATGGGAAGGATTATGGAAAAGAATATCAACTTATTTTTCACTTGCAAAGAAAACCCAGGCTGGAACTCCAAATCAAAGAGGTGGATGAATTTGGAAACTACAGCTGTCCCCATTATAAGGGAACCATTGTATTTTATAAAGTACCTAAGGAAAAGATAGTTCCCAACCTGGACCAATCTCTCATACTTAATGAAAATCATTATGAGTTGCCAATTTGCAAATTACCATTGAAATTGCCAAAGGTGAGTTATTGTACTTTCCTGAATGCTATATTTTGTTAATTCTTTGTAATTCTCTATCACAGTCAGTTCTGCAGGCAAATGAATATACAAGTTTTTAAAAAAAAAATAAGAATAAATCTCAAACAGAAGGAGTAGGTAGGCCCAATGTTAGAATGGTAAAATATATATTAGGATTGATTTTTTCATATCAGTTTTTCTAACAGAGCAATTCAAATTAATCTGTTCCTCATAGTATGTTGTTAATGACTATGGAAATAATATTATTCATTTTCTGTAACTACATCTGACTAGCTGGGGAATTGTTTATGAAAACATTGAATACATTTAGGAATGTATCACTTTAAGGAAAAATTACATTGATTGGGAAATGGAATCAAAATATTTTCACTGAGTCTTAATAAATTCTATATGTTTATTTTGTTAGTTAATTACTCCTATGTAATCTTGTTACTGTTATCAGAAAGTGGGGTTGAATTATTTATTCAAACACATCAAACAAGTAAATACATTATATTTATTCAAACATCCAACATACAAATATATGCGTTTTCTTTATTTGTATACAATTTATTTATGACAGTGTATTTACACTATATACTTAACAGGAAATATAATTAAAAATTTTATTTGATTACTCCCTATAAAGAATAAAATTCTTTATTCTTTAAAGAAAACTATTTTTCCAGTTTTTATTTTTTATGTCATAAATAGCTGAAATGTTTTCCACAGATAGATAGTCCTACTTGTAAATGAACCAGTAAAATAAGTAACTAATTAATGAATATTTTTGAAATTTTTTTGGATACAATATCTTTATTTATTTATTTATTTTTATGTGGTGCTGAGTATCAAACCCCATGCCTCACATGTGTGAGGCAAGCACTCTGCCACTGAGCTATAATCCCAGCCCCTAACTAATGAATATTTTTAATTGAGTTTCTGGAACAAGGAATATACTAGGCATTATTATAAATACAAAGCTATAGAAAATAATATATGACCTAAAGCTGGTTGTCTCAAATGGTAGCTACTAGCTACATGTGACTATCATCAACCACTTGAAATATAGCTATTCTGAAGTGAAATGTGCTGTAAGAGTAAGAAAAGCACCAAGTTTTAGACTTAGTAAAAAAAAAAACTCATTTAAAAATTACTTCCTATTGATTACGTGATAAAATTTATTATTTTGGTTATATCAAGTTATATAAGTGTTATTAAAATAGATTCCATTTATTTACTTTTTTAATGTGACTCAAATTGCACTTATACGGGGCAGAATTATTTGATGTTAATTTGCAACCCAACTGAGCATGCAAAATATGTATACAAACTTACATAAAAGTTCCTTGTTATACTAATGTATAAGCAATGCATTAGCAGTTATTCACAGGTGGGAAATAGCTTCTCTGGAGGCTAGAAGTTTTGTAGTGATTATGGCATTTTATCGGAACCTTGAAATTTGTTAAGAAATTTAATATGAAAAAAAGCAAGTCAGGGTGAAGGAAATTCATACTTCATGTGAATACCATCATGGTTTCAAATATGCCAAAGGTCTTTCAAATGCTTTACATGCATTCTATCATTAAATCTTCAAGAAAATCCTATGAGGCATTTTCATTGTTCTCATTTTATAAGAAGTTGAAATAGAAAATTTTTAGGCAAATTGTCCAGGATCCTGTAGCTAAGTCAGTGGCAGAGCTTACCATTCAAACCCAGGAAATCTTCTTTACCTGGATTTCACAATCATGCTGTTGCCTCCTTAGCAGATAAAGGTACAGATAAAGGTATTATCTCAGTCAAGTTTACAGGACAGAGTTGAGGGCTTCTAGATTCATCCTTGAAGTTATGTGACAATACAGTATACCATGCTTTAGTTTGGAGATGATGTTAGAAATATTTAACAAATGATATGATATGGACACCAACCAACCAAATTGAAATCAACCAGGGAAACAGGCTTCTAGAAACATTAACTTCTTATGTCCTGGTTTGAAAGAGATCTTGGGGTTCCTGCAAGGCATGTTAGGATGGCAGAGCCAATTGAAAAGCATATTATTCATAATTGTATAGCTATATAAGTGTATACCCATGATCAGTTTTCTTGCTATGAGTTTTCATTTGCATATAGGGCACTATTTACTCTGATAGTCACAATGCTGGCTCTTTCTTTTTTTGGAAATTTTATAGTTGATGTGCTTATTTATTTTGGCTTTATTTTTAGTTGACATAATAATTGTACATATTGGGTTGGGGATGTAATTTAGTTGTAGAGAATATTCTTAGCATGTGTAAGACTTTGGCTACAATTTTTCAGCACAAAAAAAGCATATGTATTTTGTGTGTTATAGCATGATGTTTTGATATAGGTATACAATATGTAATGATCAAATTAGGCTAATTAGCATATCCATCATCTCAAATATTTATCTTTTCAAAATGGCTAGAAAAGAGGATTTTGACTTTTGTAGGTGGTCCTTTTCATTCAGATTTCCGCTCACATTTTTGTTATCTTTATTCTTCACCTTCTTATCCAAAGTCACTCTTTAACCTGTAATTCTCTTTAGATTTATTTCCTGAAGCTCATTCGTAAGTGGAATGATTAGATTTATAATTTGCTCACATATTTTCTGTCTGCTTTTGCTCCCTGAGAAAGCAAAGTCCATGAGTGAAGGACCTGGTCTGTCCTTCCCCATGGTCGATCTCTCCATCAGTGATGAGAACTGTGCATGGGCAATTCAAGAAATAGTCATTGAAAGGACTATTCCAATTATTTCTGTCAGTAATTTGGAACCTGTTTGTACAAACCCTCCACTGGAAGGCTAATGAGTTGACTGGATCAACATAAAGATTTGGAGTGGAGAAGTATATTAGAGCTGCTCTGGAGACAGCTCCACTGGGCCTAGGTCTTCCAGAAAGCTCTATGTTTCATTTCCATGGGATGTTTAGAGGGAGACATGACTGGGGCTGGAATTCTCTGGCAGATAGTGTTCAAGGCCTTACTGCGATGATGGCAGACAATTTAAAGAAAGGCCCCAATGTTAAGAGAGAACTGTCTCAAAGTCCAAAACTGTGACACCAATTCATCTCTCAGTTATCTGTGTTTTCTCTTTGGCTTATCTGACTTCATGAATTAGCCAAGCTAAAGAATTAGCTGACGTAGCCAAGCTAGTCAATTTAGGGGTATATATAGATTTTCTTTGATGAAAGTCTTATGAGTGATGTGCCAGGGAATTTTCACTAGTCTTTTCTCTGTTTGATTCTGGCACACCACTCCCCACCCACTTGCCTGGGTAATTCCTATCGGCCCTCCCTTACACCTCTTCTTAAGTGTGACCTCTCCTGGGATTTCCCCTCTGTTTTTATTTTTATGTGGTGCCAGGGATTGAACCCAGTGTCTCACGAATGCTAGGCAAGCGCCCTACCACTGAGCCATAACCCCAGCGGGATTTCCCCTCTGTACCAGGTTAGGTGTTGCTGGTACATGCAGCCACAGCATTCTATAATTCCTCTGTCATTTTAGTTACTGTGTTTCATTATAAATCATATGCTTGTTTTCTTCCTAATGGACTAGAGTTTCTCAGGCTTTTTAAATTTTTTTTTTATTGACTTCCTTGGAAGTCATCTTAGACTTTGTATTCTCTAATGACCTCTCTCCATGAAAATTTAATACCAAGGAAATACTGTGTATCTGATTATATACTTGATGTGCATCCATGCTTTAAACATTAAGAGTAAGTTTCTTCTTGTTATCACCCAGAACAAAGTTTCTTTAAGAGTGTCCACCTTCACAGTTGAGCAGGTGTGCATGGATAGTAAAGATCCACACCTGGTCCTGCTCCACTTTGCATAGTGTGTACCTGATGAATATTTGTGAATGACAAGATGAATGTGCTAATTTCTGCCAGTCTTCAAAGTATCCAACCTTGAAATTGATAATCTTGAAACTATATTGGCACATTTAAAAGTAGTACATTTTCAACATCTGCTACTTCTCCTAGATGAATCCACTGCTGATATGCCATCTGTACTTTCCTTTTCTCCCAGATGGGTTTGCACAGGGCTTTCCAGATTCACTCCCTCAGCCCTTTCTTGTGCCCAAAGTGTTCACAAAAAAAAAAAAAAAAAAAAGGTTTGTCAGAGTTGAGAAAGAATTTGTGGCTGTGGAAACTTTTTTTTTCCTGTTTTATAGTTAGCATACCTAAATAGGAATTGAAACTATGACCTTTATTTTTGTGAGAACAGACTTCTACAAAGTTCAGGATTGAAAACCCCTAACTCAGCTAAGCAATATTAGAATGTACAATTTTTTAGGAAATGGAGCTAGCCTTATTATAGCACCTTGCGAAAGATGAACACAGCTTTATCTATACATTTGTACATGTAGCATAAATTAGGTGAAGGTATTTATCAAAACTAAAAGTTCTTTATAACAGAAGAAAAATAGTTAATATTTTTTTTCAGTATAAATGCTGTTGTTTAACTTTTCCATAAATAAAAAAAGATATCAAAGTGTTAAACATAGAGCAAATTCAATTCAACACCCCCCTTTTTTTCCCAAAACTATCCAACTTGAAAAGATGCTTGTATATAAACTTTCACCCCAAACAAGGCAATCTCTGTAACTTGGTAAAGATCTGGAGTACTGATGAGATTGTTTACGGAGTAAATACAGGTTCAAGTTATCTTTTGTCTGTAAGTTCAAAGTTTTAAGAAAAGAAGATGGGGATACAGCTCTGTTGGTAGAGTGCTTGTCTAACATGTACAAGGCCCTGGGTTCAATCCCCAGCACAACTAAACAAACACAGAAACAAACTCTAAGGAAAGTTGAGAAATAAGCATCTCAAAGATATTATTGTAGGTCATTAGGCAATAATATTTTTTTGCCCAGAAAAAACTTTTACTTATTATTACACTTTTATTTATTATTCTATAAAAGTAGTTAATTTGTATATGTATACACACACACACACACACACACACACACACACACACACTAGCAC